GCCTGGTCCGACTAGGGGATGGCATCGAACGCCACCAGGGAGTCGTCATCTAGCGCCGTGGGCAGGGCCCGCAGAGCCTCCGCGTCGGACCACCCGACCAAGGTGCAAGCAGCTCTGAAGCGGCACCGAAACTCCGTCCAGTCGCCTCCCACGGCGACAAATTCGCGGACGGGAGGCAGGCACTTTCGTTGGGACAGCGCCCCCATAGAAGCCGCCAATGGCGAGTCAAATTTGTCGGCAACAATTTCCCGCTCGGACAACAAAATGGCGGCCGCTGATTGGTACTGAATGGGCATGACATGGGATTGGTTAGAGGCACGGAAATTGAAGGGACTGGAGGAGAAATACCAATGGAAAGAGTGGGAAAGTGGAAGGTGATTGGCTGGAAGGAAAATTGGTCAAGGAACCTTTGAGAAAAGGGGCTTGAGGGATATACGAGGGGGAAGCGGTAGACCTCGGGACACTTGGAGAAAAGGGAATCTTTGAAGACGCGCGTGTCTCGTGCCTGAATAAATAAAGTCCAACTGTTTAAGACTACACATGGAAGGGTAGCTTCACATGCACGTGATCCACCAACCCTCGCCGCTGTCTCTACAGCGTGGGATATCAGACAGCCACGTGCGTAGCCACTACCGGCGTTGATCCGGTCTATGCCAAGCCAGAGCAGATATGGGAACCACAAGGTGGAAAAACATTTCAAATTAATTTGCACAGCTAATAGGAGTGAATAACTTGATGTAACCCCACTACATCAAAAGAGAGTCACCATGGAAGTTACTGCTGCTGGCCACACGAAGAGATTAAAAAGCACTCATGCCACCTCCCGTGCAATGTCTGGCCTGGAGCTCGTCGACGAATTTGGTGGGAAAGGAGAAACGGAACGAGGTCTGTGATGGCGAGAGAGCCGTGAAAGAAAAGAGTGCAGTAGTCCCTCAACGTTTTTAATGCGTTCCACAAAAACTGCTGTCAGCCGAAATAACTGTTAAACCGAATGTAGGAATTACATGTTAAAAGCATTAATCCGTTCCAAGACGATCGGAAGTTGAACTTTTTAACCCTAAAAACATAGTTTATTGTAACATTGAAACACTCAATATATCTAAACATGAATCCACCTGCATAACATAAACATAGCGTTCATCACATTTGTAACATTCGTCGAAACCACGGGAGTCCCTATTCACACCATACGTAGTCAACCGATGTCACTTAACCGGGGGACTACTGCAGTTCAGTGTTGAGCCGCACTTCAAGCGGGGAAGGTGTGGTCGACCGGTGGGAGCGAATTAAAAGTGTGAGAAGAGGATGAGAGTGGAGGAGAGAGGATGAAAAGAGAGAAGAGAGGAAGAGAACAGGATGAGAGAGGAAGAAAAAAGAGATGAGAGGAAGTGAAGAGGGAGAGGAGAGCGAGAGCAGGAGAAGAAAAGGAGATGAGGAGAGAGGTGGTGGTAGGAGAAGAGGACAGAGGGGGAGAAGAGGAATAGAGAGGAGAGAAGAAAAGAGAGGAGAGAGGATCCCTCGTGCCCAGCGTTGGTCTGCAGGTTCATACATCCCAACCTCGTCCGGCGGGACCTGCACATTCCAAAATCACTGCCAGTGCCGAGGCCACACGTGACACCTTGTGCCAGGGGCTCTCCACGTGGACGACCTGCAGAGAACTTCTCAATTCCTCCGTCACAAGCAACGCTCAGGCTGGACAGGGGGGGGGGCTGATGCCGTCAAGTTTAGAGAGTTAATGGTCTCACTTCCGCAAACAAATGACCGCTCGGATTCTTCCTGCATTAAGAATAAAACGCTAAAGGATGTCTGGAAGGCACTGACGAATCTCTGCACAGCATGCAAGAGGCATTCCGCCCACCCAGTGCGGCATTGCCTCCCAGGGCCACTCTCATAGGGCGACTCTCGCTCCAGTTTGAAATGTTCTCACCCAGTGGGAAGACAGTATTGGCCCAGGTGGGTGGCCCAGGCAGTGACTTCTCCCCCCCCACGTGGGTTTGAGAAAGTTATCGCGTAAGCGTTGTGAGGAGTGAATAGGAGCAGCAACACAAATGCATCAGACCGGTCTTATGTTGAGCCAAGTTTGTTTTTACTCCCAAATTCACGGACACGCAACTCCCGTACTCAAGCACTACTCTAGACGCAGCACAGCGCAACAAAAGCATTAAAAATACACCAACACTACATTTGACCAACATCAATGAAGAACATTTCTAAGACTACACGTGCCTGCATACACCGGAGCACATTGCGCGACTGCACACCATCCGTCCCCCAGGTGCAGATGGGCAGCGGCTCGCGATCCTTCAACCCCATTAGTCCCAGCGACCCCCACGTTGACCCAGGCGCTACGGGTCAATCGGCTCGGCTACAACCACCACCCCCCCTCCACTACAATCACCCCTGCCATACCCCTGCCCCCCCCCCCCCCAAATATCCCACCCCCCCCCCTCCCATGCCTAGCCGTCATGTAGGAAATGGGTTAAAATGTGGCGCAAGCGTGCGTGTGAAGGCTGGGACTCCGCGACGATACTATATGTAGTGGCCCCGATGACTACTGGGAAACTAGAAGCGAACGAGCAACCCACATCCACAACATTCGCCACTCACCGCAACGCCATCTCTCTCCAGCAGTGTCTGTCATCAGTCCCCGTACAGTGACCACCACCGCCGCAGCATCAGCTCTCTTTTGCAAGAGGGTCCCTTCTCAGTTGGTTTGTTTGCATGGGTTCATACCTGTAGTGTGGCTCATCAAGTCACCGGGACATCAAAGTCCACATGAAGTCACACTCGCGTCCTCTATAAAGACATGTGGAAACTACACTGTTCCATAACAGTACCTCAACCAGACTACAGTTGTTAAATCAATCCTATGGCCACATTGGCAAGAGGATTTAGTTAACACACAGCCTCTTCATCGCAAGCCAAACGCTCTACCCTCTGCCCGTACTCGACATCTCTGCTTTGGCTTGCACCAATACATCAGATGGGAAATCCTCTCCCCACAATCACTGCCAAAGGACAACTCCTCTATACTCAGTGGGCTTGAGGTGATGTCAATGTTATCCTTTTTGAAGCATGTCTGTGTATGTACGTTTAACTTATTTCACACCGTACATAGCCAACCGTGCTAATCGGAGTAAGAATGTTTGTTATTGCGCACTCTTATGAGTCCAGTCCATCACGAATGTGCATTAATCACATATTGCAGAAGGCTCTCTGAAACAGTTTTGAGTCTGTTGCAGAACTGGCTCAGACTCAGGGATGAATCTCAAACATGAGCTGGCAGCGTGTTCCATGTCTTTGGGCGGGAGATCCCAAAACTGCGCTGGCCGTATCACACACGATTTACACGCGGGTACAGCAGGTCACCCCGAGCCGCAGATCGTAGTCAGAGTCGATTTGGGTCTGTTGAAGCTGGTAAGATAGGATGGAACAGATTGATGAAGACTCTTGAAGACAATTAAGCATAACTTATACACAATCCTGTATTTAATAGGTAGCCAGTGCAGCTCATCACGTATCAAACTTGTGATCGGAAAATATTTATGTTTTTTAACTATCAGACGAGTTGCAGCATTTAGCACCGACTGGAGTGGCCGCAGGCGAACAGCGAGTGCAGAGCCGAAGATGCTCTTGAAGTAGTCTACGCGGCCGATGATGAATGCGTGGACGAGCATTCTGGCAGTCTCCACAATCAGAGCACGACGGACTGTGCACAGTTGTCGAAGCTGGCAGAAGCAGCGTCTAGTCAGGCGCCTGATGCGAGTGGCGAATGTCAGTTCGCTGTCGACAAGGACACCAAGGGATGTTGCCTTATTCGACACTGGATGTCACAGCCATGAAGTTGGTGGCACTCCCAAAACTATACAGCAGATGTGCTTCTCCACGCCGAAATTGAAAGACATTATTGCCAGTGGGAAGCAGCCGGGGCGATCAATGTTTTGCCCCAAGGGGAGCGGCATTCTACTACACGCTGGGAGCAGTTCACACGGCGGTGCGAGAGTCGACCCCGGCTCTCGGCCCCGGCGCGTCCGATGACATTGAGCACCGCGGCCCAGATCCCCACGCCGAGGCTCCTATCCAGAGCCTCCACAGCTCCTCCTTTTCCTCCTGCTGCTCCTCCTCCAACTGCTCCCACGAGTTCACAAACCCAGAGAGCCTGGAGCCACCTCTTCTCCATGAGCTCCAATGGTTCCACACACACCAGCACCAACTTAGAATCAGAATATCTATTTATACTAGAGGAATCCGATGAGTTAAAGCACTTTTCTTTCACAGACATCGACTTGGTGTCCTCTCTCCATCTCCCGAGCGACTGACTGAGTCTCCTGAAGCCTCTCATTCTCATCTCCCTCCATGCGTGACGTGGAGCAGCCAACTGGGGACCTGGGTGCCCTCGGTCTGTCCGTGGTTTGGGCACCACTCGTGCATCTGCCCAGGAGGGCGACTTCACGACTTCTGCCGCTGGGTTTGGCTCGATGCCTGGCGGTCCTAGTCACTCTGAGGTCATGGTTTTCAATATGCACGTTTTCACGCTCTTTATGTTCTATCTTAGAGTATATAGTAGCAGTCCTTTATAACCCGATGAGATACACAAACTGCACATCCTTCATCGTGTCTGCATCCATGCCTCTCTAGGCGCCGAAGGTTTGCAGGTCACAATGCTACCGGTGGTTTTGTAGGAGACTGGTTTCCTCCCACTTCAGAGTAAATTTTTGTAGCAGGTGTTCCCGGTTTCACGCCGCTCAAGAAATAAAGTTTGGACAAGTCAAATGAATGTGAGGCGCTCACCGTTCTCGATGCGGGCTCCTCAGCACCTTCAGCCAGACGCAGCCCATCAGCGATATTCCTCCTTTCACGTCGCAGTTTGCCGAGCATCTTTGGCGATTGCTCCGGGCCGATTGCCTCCCCATCTCCTCGATCGTCCCAGCCTCTCCCCCATTGCATCGTATTGTCCCTCAAGTTTAAATTGTTCACAAGTCTGCCTTGTTCAGTGGCTCCACACATCTCTGTGCCTTGCTTTGACTGCACTCTGTCCGACTCCTACATGCGTCAAGAGGGGTCCGATCTCCAACTCTACACTTGTTCACATGCATGACCGAATTAATCCGAAATCTAGAATAAGTTTGTTCACGATTGCAACGTTTAATGGATATTCTCTATCTCAATACAACAGCTCCACCACAGGTTATGCTACGCAATGGAAACTCTACGTTGGTGCAAACAATTAACTTTGCGGCTCCTGTCACCTTGGGAGACACTCGTGGGTGTTAAGAGGTCATGGCACAGAGGCAGCCAAGCTCCAACTTTTCCACGCCATTGGGCCCACGACGTTCCTCACTGCCTACCTCCCCCGATCCTCACTCCCGGGTTCTTGACCAGGACGTTCTACATCATGATCGCTATTTCATGGTCACTTCTGTTCTACATCTGTGTAATGGCTTTCTATTTTCTGATCATGGTCTTCAGTAATTTAATTCCACTTTATTATTGTGGTGAGGAAGATGGTTAAGGTGGTGGGGAAATTCATTTAGGAATTGTGTTCTTGCTTTTACGCTAGATTTCAAAACACGAATTTTCTCTGAACATTTTTGTTGCATTTTGTGTGTAATGGCACCTTAGATGACTGATCTATGCCAGCAAGGAGCCAGAGTGATTAAAAATACTAGTTGACGAGATCAATACTTGCTCTCGCCCACATCTCTTGCAGATGGTCATAACCCCACCCAGGTCTGGCAATGGGCCAAGGTGAGGTTAAAAATGTCTGCAGCCGCCGGGGGCTAATCCCGGTCCAGGGAAGCCGATCTTGGTAGTCTCAGCCCGGCCGACACCTAGGCCGCAGCGTTTAATCATCGGCGTGCACCTTCTCGTGCTTCCTCAGGCTGCTGGCCTGGATGAAGGCCTTCTTGCACATGGTGCACTTGAAGGGCTTCTCGCCGGTGTGCGTGCGCTCGTGGCTCTTGAGGCACGACAGCTTGCGGAACGTCTTGCCGCACGCGGTGCAGCCGTGCGGCCGCTCGCCCGTATGGATCATCTCGTGGACCTTGAGGTCGTTGGCCTGGATGAAGGCGCTGCCGCACACCTCGCACTTGAAGGGCTTCTCGCCAGTGTGTGTGCGCTCGTGCACCTTGAGGTAGGACACCTTGCGGAAGCCCTTGCCGCACGTGGTGCACTCGTGCGGCCGCTCTCCCGTGTGCATGCGGTGGTGCTTCTTGAGGTCGCTGGCCTGGATAAAGGAGCTGCCGCACACGGAGCACACGTAGGGCTTCTCGCCCGTGTGGATCATCTCGTGGCTGCGCAGGTGCGAGTGCTTGCGGAACGTCTTGCCGCACGTCGGGCACTCGTGCGGCCGCTCGCCCGTGTGGATCATCTCGTGGAACTTGAGGTCGTTGGGCTGGATGAAGGCGCTGCCACACACGGAGCACACGTAGGGCTTCTCGCCAGTGTGGATGCGCTCGTGAATCTTGAGGTACGACGTCTGCTTGAATGCCTTTCCGCACGTGGCGCACACGTGCGGCTTCTCACCCGTGTGCATGCGCTGGTGCTTGCGCAGGTTGCTGGACTGCGTGAAGGCGCCGCCGCACACGAAGCACACGTAGGGCTTCTCGCCGGTGTGGATCAGCTCGTGGCTCTTGAGGTGCGACATGCTGCGGAACGCCTTGCCGCACGTGGCGCACTCGTGCGGCTTCTCGCCCGTGTGGATCAGCTCGTGCAGCTTGAGGTCCTTGGACTGGGTGAAGGCGCTGCCGCACGTCGTGCACTTGTAGGGCTTCTCGCCCGTGTGCGTGCGCTCATGGATCTTGAGGTTGGACGACTGCATGAAGCCCTTGCCGCACGTGGTACAGATGTGGGTTCGCTCGCCCCGACGGATGCGAACGGGCGGCGGCGGCCGCGTGTGCTTCCTCATGTGGGTCTGGATCGAGCGCTCGGTGAGGAACTCCTCGAAGCAGATGGGGCACGAGTAGCCCCCGTCCTCGTCGCCGGGGCGCCGCAGAGCCGCCACTGCGAATCACAAACGCTCCGTTAAGACTCGACCTGTATTGGTGGTAATGGTGGATTGGTTAGGGTGGATGATGGTGTCTGGCAAAAAAACAACCCCCTCCCTACCTCCTCGGTGGTACTTGACGGTCGCCACCACAGCAGCTAACATGGGGCTCTAGATGGGTGCGAGGGGCTGGTAACCCCTCCACCTTCAATTTAATCACCAGTCACCCAACTAAGCTTGTGCCGGAGGCCCCGTGAGGACAGGCGTCTATGGCGTCTCCTGGCCACACCCCATTTGACAGAGCCAGGAGACCTGGAGTGTTCTACTAAGAGGTGGGGCCTTACCATCAGCCCCTCTAAAATTAAGCACCTGCCTGGGTATTTTGTGTCATCAAACACTCAACCCCCTCCACTCCTCATGTAGCTTTAAAGCACTGCGGTCACATCACAGCCACTTAGTGGCAATTGGCGGTTGTTGTTGGTGGTAATTGTGGTGATAGTGGTGGTGGTGATAGTGACGGTGATGATGGTAGTGATGGTAGTGATGGTGATTATAGTGATGGTGAAGATTTTGTCTGTATTGCGCCATCGGAACTGCCACGAAAAGGAACTCAGACAGCCAGAAGAGCCTCAGAACGAGGCGTGAAGGGAGACGGTATCACGGAGCTCCTTCCCAAGTCTCTTCATGGGGTCTCTCTCTAACCAATCCCAGGCAAGGCCTTGCACCAGTCCGCCCAAGCCAGCGGCCAAGCCACGTGTCGATCGCTCGATGAACTTTACCATTCGGCGGCGGTGTTTCCTGGTTTACCTCCGTTCAAGCGTCGTCACAAGCCACATGAGACCAACTTCGCGGTGCAGCGACCATGGGGAACTGTAGATTTATAAACGGGGGGCTAATACCAATCAACAACTTCGCGATAACGTTTGGTGATACCCCTTGGGTGAGTTGTGGTTTTCTGGATGTTCGGTGATGCACATGGAAGCAGAGAGGAGGGAGGGGAGGAGGAGGGGACCCACCCTGGCTCATGTTCTCCATCTTCACCGCCTCCTCAGTGCACTCCCAGCTCCCACGAGCATCTGGCAAGGCCTCTATGGCATCGCTGGAAGTGGTGGCATGGATGTCGTCTCCCCCCAGAGCTGGCAGAACCATAAAAACAAAGATTCCACCGATTAACCCACAGAGACTGTTGGGGCAAGTGTTGCAGCACCTATGAAGGCCAGCATGGCACACAAGTCGGTGGTGTGGACAGTGCCACTCCTGGCCGCCTTTGTCTCCTTCATGGCTGAATCGACTTATGGGAGGCCCATTACTGGTTTTGTAAGCATCTCTGGTACAGAAGTCCCTCGGTTAACGTTTTCAATCCATTCCGTAAAAAAACTACTGTTTACCGACATAACTGTCAATCAAATTAACTTATAAGTTGAAAAATAAGTCAAAATCATTGAGTCTACACAAGAGAGCTATTTCCACTGCAAAAACAGAAGATGAAATGTAAAAAAAGCTAGTCAAGGTTTAGGCAAACCACTGCACAACCACTGTCCACGAACACAAAAGACAAACACTCATGCACACCACCACACTTGCACTACCAGACATGTGCACACACAACAGCCGCCAATTCGCCACTAAGTGGCGGTGATGTCACCACTGCGCCCGTGCCGTACCAGACCAGGTGTACTCTGAGACCATGTGAAATGTCGAAGTGCTGTCAGGTGACAGGGACAGAACCAGGTGCCATGGGAGGACTGATTGGGATGATTGGCAAAATATAATTTTTTTACCAGGTAAAGCCCACTAAGCTATGCAGCAGAAGTGACCTGGCCACAAATGATATCTCAACAAAGTGGCACATCGTGTGGAAATTTCTCGCAGTCAAATTACTCTGAACGCACGTTTCTAAATCTTCATTTGAAGCTTTCGTGACTGCGGGTAAAGTCATGTAGGTATAAAATAAAATACATTTGTATTTAATTTTATACCTACGTGACTACCGAAAGAACAAAAGAGGATGTTTCTAAATGTTAAGGGAAAAACCGGAGGACCCAGAGAAAAATCCACATGTCTACGGGTAGAACATGCAAACTCCAAATATACAGCAGGGGTTCGGGCCGGAATCGAACCCACGACCTCCTGCATCCCAATAGTATTCATAAGAGGTTTTTGCATTAGATCACGTAAATGCATCGTTAAACCCGACACAGCCAATGGAGTAAGGCTTGTCACGTAAGCAAAACGTGCCAATTCATTACTAGTTCAGCACACCGGTGTGTTCAAAAATAAACTCACTAAAACATTTACAATTCGAGTACCGAGACGTTTTCGCGGTAATTACAACTCAGCCTCATCAGGTGACGGCCACAGTTTTGGAGAAATCCTCCTGTTTCTGTCTCAGAGGGAGTAAATGTGACGTCGTCACTTGTGAGCCAATCGGGTGCCAGTACCAGCAGGGGTGGGGGGAGGTGATGGATATCCATTACCGGTTGGGTTATTCAAAACTAAACACATCAGCAAAAAGCAGCAGCAGCGGTTGTAAAGAGATGAGTCTGAGTGCAGGGAGGGGAGTCACCCACTAGCGAAAGCCCCCGTGAGGGGTGGGCGCACCCCGGGGCTTCCCAGCCACTGGCAGATGAGTGTACCCGCCTCCTCCTCCTCCTCCTCCTCCTCCAGCTGTTCCTGCTGCTGCTGCTCCACCTCCTCCTCGCACTTGATGAGGGCGCCGTGCGCCTGCAACTCCAACCCTGACATCTCAGCGGGTGCCTCGAGGACTTGCAGCACCTGGGGGGGGGGGGGGGGGGTTAAATGTCCGCATGTAACCACAAGGGGCAATCACCACACAGCCAAACAACCACACGAGGCAATCACCACACAATTCTAGATTTAAAGCTTTCGTGACTGCAAGGATCCATACTCTTTGGTTCTATTCGGTAAAGTCACATAGGTAAAAAATTAAACAAAAATCACGACTTTTCGGTCACAACACAAGTGGCCTTCAATGAAGGCCACTTGTGTTGTGACCGAAACGTCGTGATTTTTGTTGTTTTATTTTTTACCTACGTAATCACCACACAACCACACGGGGCAATCACCACACAACCACACGGGCCAATCACCACACAGCCACACGGGCCAATCACCACACAGCCACACGGGCCAATCACCACACAACCACACGGAGAAATCACCACACAGCCACACGGGTCAATCACCACACAACCACACGGGGCAATCACCACACAACCACACGGAGAAATCACCAAACAACCACACGGAGAAATCACCACACAACCTACAAGCCACACGAGGCAATCACCACACAGCCACACGGGGCAATCACCACATAGACACACGGGGCAATCAACACACAGCCACACGGGGCGATCACCACACACAGCCACACGGGGCAATCACCACACACAACCACACGGCGCAATCACCACACACAGCCACATGGGGCAATCACCACACAGCCACACGGGGCAATCACCACACACAGCCACATGGGGCAATCACCACACAGCCACACGGCGCAATCACCACACACAGCCACATGGGGCAATCACCACACACAGCCACACGGGGCAATCACCACACACAACCACACGGGGCAATCACCACACAACCACATGGGGCAATCACCACACACAGCCACACGGGGCAATCACCACACACAACCACACGGCGCAATCACCACACACAGCCACATGGGGCAATCACCACACAGCCACACGGGGCAATCACCACACACAGCCACATGGGGCAATCACCACACAGCCACACGGCGCAATCACCACACACAGCCACATGGGGCAATCACCACACACAGCCACACGGGGCAATCACCACACACAGCCACACGGGGCAATCACCACACACAACCACACGGGGCAATCACCACACAACCACATGGGGCAATCACCACACACAGCCACACGGGGCAATCACCACACACAGCCACATGGGGCAATCACCACACACAACCACATGGGGCAATCACCACACACAGCCACATGGGGCAATCACCACACACAGCCACACGGGGCAATCACCACACACAGCCACACGGGGCAATCACCACACACAACCACACGGCGCAATCACCACACACAGCCACACGGGGCAATCACCACACAACCACATGGGGCAATCACCACACACAGCCACACGGGGCAATCACCACACACAGCCACACGGGGCAATCACCACACACAGCCACATGGGGCAATCACCACACACAGCCACACGGGGCAATCACCACACACAGCCACATGGGGCAATCACCACACACAACCACATGGGGCAATCACCACACAACCACATGGGGCAATCACCACACACAGCCACACGGGGCAATCACCACACACAGCCACACGGGGCAATAACCACACACAGCCACACGGGGCAAGCAACACGCAACCACATGGGACAGCTACCACATGGCCACGTAACAAATCCCACTGGAGCGAGATGTTGATCTCAAGAAACTCTAGACCCTGATCAAGGTTCCAGAGGTGATCAAAACTAAAACTCCACTTTATTTACCAGGTGAAAGGCCCAATTGAGCTATGTAGTTAATTTTCCAGAAGGGACCTGGCTGTCACAAATGACAGCTCAACGAAGTGGCTTATCATCATCGCGTGGACATTTATAGCAGCAGCCAAATACGCCAAACGCACGTTTCTAAATGTAGAGGGAAAAAAACGGACCCGGAGAAAAATCCACGCAATCACGGAGCGAGACGCAAACTCAAAATATAGAGCAGGCGTCAGGGTCGGGATCGGACCCACGACCTCCTGTATAGCAGTTGAGTTAACATCTCTCCAGAAACCCAAAGAACAGAACCGGGCCCCTTTCGGCATGGTAGGGATGACAGTGGGGATGGTGGTAGTGATGGTGATAATATTGATGATGAGAGTAGTATCGATGGTGGTAGTTATGGTGATGGTGTTGATGAAGTTGATGATGGTTTTGATGGTGGTGCTGATGGTAATGGTGATGATGATGGTGAGGTGGCAATGGTTTTGACGATGCTGGTGATGGCTTTAATGATGGTGATGTTTATAGTGGTCGTAATGATGATGGTGATGGGGATAGTGGTAATGGTAGTGATGGCAGTGGTGATGGTAGTGATGATAGTGATGGCGGTGGTGATGGTAGTGATGATAGTGATGGCGGTGATGATGGTAGTGATGATAGTGATGGCGGTGTGATGGTAGTGATGATAGTGATGGCGGTGGTGATGGTAGTGATGATTGTGATGGCGATGGTAGTGATGATGATGATGGTAGTGATGATGGTGGTGGTGATGGTAGTGATGATGATGATGATGGTGGTAGTGAGGATGATGATGGTGGTGGTGATGGTAGTGATGATGATGGTGGTGGTGATGGTAGTGATGATGATGGTGGTGGTGATGGTAGTGATGATGATGGTGGTGGTGATGGCAGTGATGATGGTGGTGATGGTAGTGATGATGATGGTGGTGGTGATGGTAGTGATGATGGTGGTGGTGATGGTGGTGGTGATGGCAGTGATGATGATGGTGGTGGTGGTGATGGCAGTGATGATGATGGTGGTGGTGATGGTAGTGATGATGGTGGTGGTGATGGTAGTGATGATGATGATGGTGGTGGTGATGGTAGTGATGATGATGATGGTGGTGGTGATGGTAGTGATGATGATGATGGTAGTGGTGATGGTAGTGATGATGATGATGGTAGTGATGATGATGATGGTGGTGATGGTAGTGATGATGATGGTGGTGGTGATGGTAGTGATGATATGATGGTGGTGGTGGTAGTGATGGTAGTGATGATGATAGTGATGATGGTGGTAGTGATGATGATGATGGTGGTGATGGTAGTGATGATGATGGTGGTGGTGATGGTGGTGGTGATGGTAGTGATGATGACGATGATGGTGGTGGTGATGGTAGTGATGATGACGATGGTGGTGGTGGTGATGGTAGTGATGATGACGATGGTGAAGATAGCGATGATGACGATAGTGGTGACGATAGCGATGACGATAGTGGTGACGATAGCGATGATGACGATAGTGGTGACGATAGCGATGACGATAGTGGGGGCGATAGCGATGACGACGAAAGTGGTGATGATAGCGATGATGACGAGAGTGGTGATGATAGCGATGATGACGATAGCGGTGATGATAGCGATGATGACGATAGCGGTGACGATAGCGATGATGACGATAGTGGTGATGATAGCGATGATGACGATAGTGGTGATGATAGCGATGACGGCGATAGCGGTGACGATAGCGATGACGACGATAGCGGTGACGATAGCGATGATGACGAAATCGGTGATGATAGCGATGATGACGATAGTGGTGATGACAGCGATGATGACGATAGTGGTGATGACAGCGATGATGACGATAGTGGTGATGACAGCGATGATGACGATAGTGGTGATGATAGCGATGATGACGATAGTGGTGATGATAGCGATGATGACGATGGTGGTGATGATAGTGATGACGATAGTGGTGATGATAGTGATGATGACGATAATGGTGATGATAGTGATGATGACGAGTGGTGATGATAGAGATGATAATGATGATGGTGGTGATGATAGTATTGATGGTGGTGGTGGTGATAGTGATGATAGTGATGATGGTGGTGGTGATAGTGATGAGAGTGATGATGGTGGTGGTGGTGTTGATGATAGTGATGATGGTGATGATGGTGGTGGTGATGATGATAGTGATGATGGTGGTGATGATGATGGTGGTGATGGTGGTGGTGATGATGGTGATGATGGTGGTGGTGATGATGATGGTGATAGTGACGGTGATGGTGATATTGACTGTGGTGGTGATAATAGTGACGGTGGCGGTAATAATAGTGACGGTGGCGGTGATGATTGGTGGTGATGATGGTGGTGGTGATAATAGTGATGCTGGTGGTGGTGATAATAGTGATGATGGTGGTGGTGGTGATAATAGTGATTATGGTGGTGATGATAGTGATGATGGTGGTGGTGGTGGTGATGATGGTGATGATAGTGTGGATGGTGGTGGTGGTGATGATAGTGATGATGGTGATGGTGGTGACAATGATGATAGTGATGATGGTGGTGGCGGTGATGATAGTGATGATGGTGGTGGCGGTGATGATAGTGATGATGGTGGTGGTGATGATGATAGTGATGATGGTGGTGATGATAGTGATGATGGTGGCGATGATGATAGTGATGATGGTGGTGGCGGTGATGATAGTGATGATGGTGGTGGCGGTGATGATAGTGATGATGGTGGTGGTGGTGATGATAGTGATGATGGTGGTGGTGGTGATGATGATAGTGATGATGGTGGTGGTGATGATAGTGATGATAGTGGTGGTGATGATGATAGTGATGATGGTGGTGGTGATGATGGTGATTGGTGGTGATGATAGTGATGATGATGGTGGTGATGATGATAGTGATGATGGTGGTGGTGATGATGATAGTGATGATGGTGGTGGTGATGATGATAGTGATGATGGTGGTGGTGGTGATGATGATAGTGATGATGGTGGTGGTGGTGATAGTGATGAGAGTGTTGATGGTGGTGGTGTTGATGATGGTGATGATGGTGGTGATGATGGTGATGATGGTGATGATGGTGGTGATGATGGTGATGATGGTGGTGGTGATGGTGATGATGGTGGTGGTGGTGGTGATAGTGACGGTGGTGGTGATAATAGTGACGGTGGCGCTGATAATAGTGACAGTGGCGGTGATGATTGGTGGTGATGATGGTGGTGG